GCATCCCAAGAATTCAGGAACATACAATTGCCGTGGCTTGGATCTCGCAGATTTATTGCGAGCATTCCCGGGGATAGTCTTTATTTAAAAGAAATTAAAACATTTCAGAATGAACTTTATCATGGAGGCATGGCGAAAAAAATTGTATGTATTCGAATCAAGCAATAGTGCTTCATAAAGAACGCCTTGGAAGAACATTCATAAAACCACAACAATGCTAACTGAAAAACACTTCAATGTATAGCAAGACTAAATTCTCAGACTAAAAGAAGACTAAATTCTGCTTCACAAAACCTCAAAATATTACTTCGAGAAGACCGTAACCACGCTCTACAAGATAAACTTATAATATTGATTCCAAATTCAAATTCAGAGTACTATCTTTGGGAAACCACCAAATGCTTGAAGAGACCGATACAACCTATTCTTCCGATCAGAAAAATTGTTGGTACATGGACTAAAAGCGACGAAGAGAAAACGGAATGCTTTGCCTCCCATTTCTCTAACCTCTTTCATCCACTTCCTCCACAAATATCTGCAGCAGAAGAGGAAGAAATTTACAACTTCCTAGATTCACCGTTGCAACTAGCTCCCCAAATCAAGCCCGTAAGTGCTCGAGAAATTGAAACATTAATCAAAATTTTACCAACTAGAAAAGCTCCCGAATACGATTTGATTTCTATAACAATTCTACGCCATCTACCAAGAAAATTGATAGCCTTAATTCCATTTTCAATACCACTCTAAGATTAGGACACTTACCCGAGCAATGGAAAATAACCCAAGTCATCCCTAAACCCGGCAAACCAATGCATGAGTGTATCATACAGACATATTAGTCTTCTATCAACACTATCCAAAGTTTCTGAGAAGTTACTACTGTCACGTTTGAATCCACTTCTGCAAGAAAAAGAAATAATACCTCATCATCAATTTGGGTTCAGACAAAGGTATTAGACTATATAACAAATCCATCGAATAGAAAACGAAATTAGTGAATCGCTAGAAAATAAAGAATATTGCTCTGCTGTGTTTCTCGACATAAGTCAGGCTTTTGATAAGGTCTGGCACCCAGGTTTATTCTATAAAATTAAGCAAAACTTACCATATCCTTACTATCTCTTATTAAAATCGTACCTCACGGAAAGATATTTTCAATTAAAATTTAACGGTGTATCTTCAGAACTTATCCCTATAAATTCCGGGGTGCCTCAAGGAAGTGTGCTTGCACCTTTCCTTTACTCATTATACACTGCCGACATTCCAACATCTGAAAACGCATTGACAGCAACCTACGCGGATGACACAGCCATCTTAGCTCGACATAAAGATCCAGCAGAAGCATCGTCTTGTAGAAGAACATCTGCAATCCATTCACAAGTGGCAGAAACGCTGGCGCCTCAAGACAAATGACAAGAAGTCTGCCCATGTTACCTTCAGTCTGAAGCACGAAACATGCCCTCCTATAAAAATCGGATCACAACATATTCCTCAAAACAGCAAAATATCTTGGAATTACACTGGACAGAAGACTTACATGGAAAACACATATAAAGAATAAAAGAAAAGAATTAGACCTCAAAATTATCAGATTAAACTGGCTATTAGTAAAAAACTCATCCTTAAGCATCGCAAACAAAATTCATCTGTATAAAATTTACTAAAACCAGTCTGAACATATGGAATACAACTTTGGGGAACAGCTCAAAATTCAAATATTGAAATATTACAACGTTTCCAATCTAAAAGCTTAAGAAAATGTGTAAATGCTCCTTGGTACGAATCAAACGCCACAATACACCAAGACTTACAAATGACAACAATATAAGAAGAAATTAACAAGACCAGCGCAAAATAATTACGACTACATAACCATCAAAATATTCATGCCATTAACTTACTAGATAATAGTGACACCACCAGACGACTTAAACGATATCATACTTTAGACCTGACATATCGACTATAAATTGTTGTTAATCTGAAAAAAGGTAATATTAGGAGTACGGTCAAAGGACCTTACTCCACTCATGTTATTCAAATTGTAATTTTGTAATTTTGCCAAATGTTTCTACCGAAACAAATTGCAAAATAAAATATTATTATAAAAAATGTTTAGCAAAAATGGCCCTTTTAGCAAGAATTGACAAGAAAATATGTGTCCATTGTTGGCAGCGTCCATCACTGCATGCGCGCTTTGATGTCAGCGCTCATCGACTGAGATATGTTGATACAGACAGAAATGCAATATAATATTATTACATAACAGTTACTAAGGGGTGAGAAAGTATGTACTGTTTGAGCGCCACTAGTTTATATTGTTTCTGGGTGCGTCCTATTCGAAAAATATTTTGTGACAGCCTATTGTCAAGTCCAAAATAATAATTTGCAATAATTTCCAATTTTCTATATATTGCCTAGTTGCGCAAACATTACAACACAATTCAAGTAATGCAAAAAGTTTTATCATCGATTCCTTATAAAAATATTGCTATTCCAGTCTCTGGAATATTACTTAAATAAAGTTCTTCACCTTGTATAATATTGTCTCTCAGTAAAATATCTATGTTGTAAACGATTATAGCTAGGATCATTCAATTAAACTTATGTGTTCAAAGAGTGACAACATTTACCTACTTTTATCTTTTCATCTTACTATGTATGAGAAATATTGTAATTGTACTCCGGAGATCGGTAAAAATTGCACAAATTCAAACATTCTTGTGCGTGTTCTTACAATAGTAATATTGATAAAGTTTTTGAAAAATGAAATTCTTTGTTCAAAGACAGATCTTGAAATAAGTTCATACGATTTTTGAAAGTATGAGAGGTTTTCGCGAAAATTTGCATGAAACATAGTCCCCGACAAGTGTGATAATACAGTGCGTGTAAATGTAAGTAAGAGGTGATAATAGGACAAGAAAATGAAAGAACGCTGTCTGTGGCCCGTTTGATGCTCCGGCATCGCCTGATATTGGAGAAACCACGACAACTGCCGATTAGATCAGACGGCCACTAGAATTCTTCTCCATACAGCGGGAGAACTTAGCTAGTTGTCTAGCTCTCGAAGTTGTCGAAAATTCTGCCACCGTCGACACTCGAACCTAGGACATTCCGGTCAGAGGCACTGCAGTGACATCAGTTGATTCCCTGAGCCACCCTTTGCGGTATTGTGTAGATCCTAATACGAAAAAAATTGTGTATAGCGAACGTCGGGTCGGTCGGATCGGATCATCCGTTGGTCTGTCGATTTGTCGACATGTAAACAAAGCTCATTTCATTTTACATGGTCCAGCACTGGTCTCAAGCCAATTTCAGAAGGAAAAAAACGTTTTATATACATTCCCTTTTGTTTTGCTCGTTCAAAACAGTTATAAAAGAATACTTAATGTACGTGGTTCATAAATGGCGGCATTTTGTGTTCTAAGCCGCGCGCAATTTTTTGAGCTGGGTTGATGTAGCTTTTTAAACTAAAATGCATTTGATTCCGCACACTCTGACGTACAAATCAATATGACAATTGTGTACCCAATATGTTTTATTTTGGTAATATTTGGAATTAAAACAATCAAACGTTAATGAAAAAATATTGTTTTAGAGAGATTAATTTTTCAAAACAGAAATAGTTGTTTCCGTATTTCTTTCACTGAGGTTTTACATATATCTACGCAGTTACTTTATGTAAGATGTAAATGATAATTAAAATTACCACTTCAAAATTTACCCTCCTAATAACTGTAATTTTGGATTTTTTCCCAATTTTGAAATACAATGTCTGTTGGCGGAAATGGTAAAAACTTGAAATTTACACACTTAAAAGATCGCTATGATACCAAACTTCAGTATAAATTTTAATGATGAGATTCAACTCAAAATTGGTTTACAAAATTGTAAATTAAAGCGAAATATGTGTTATTTCCACATTGAGGCGAAGTGGTCACAAAGTGTTATCTTATTTTTTCCAGCCATTTTGAACTGAAATTAGCATTATTTTATAATAATTAATATTTTATTACAAACCTAAAAGTTGCCTATTATATAATTTTAAATATTACTTCAATACAATTCGTTCTTATTTATAAATGAAAATAAGGCACTTTTGCTTGAAGGAAAATCCCTCTTTCTCCTTCCATCTCTTTTGCCTCTCCCACTACTGCGACTCCTTTTCCTTCGTCACGCAATTCTCGGTCTCTATCTTCGTCTGCCCCTTTTCCGTCTGAACCTTCTTCGCCTCCTTCTCCGTTACATATTTTTTCGTATTCCACTCCTCCACCTCCGGCTTTTTGACCTTCTTCCTACTCCGTCTCCGACTCCGTTTATTACGCTTGTCTCCTTTTTCGGTTGAAGAAGGGTACACGGTACACCCTCAGAAGCGTGGCGTCGGTGGGGAGCGGGGGTCTTAATCCCTCCTTCAATTTACACTACACCCTCTAATAGAAATTACGGATAGGCGATTTTCATGTCTTGCTCTTCATACGCTTTGTCCCCGCCGCAATGTAATGTCAATTAACTTTCAAAGGCAATTTTTTTCGCTTCGCTCGCCGGATCCAAGTCAAGGCGAGGCTCGGGCCTTCGGTCCTCGCGTTCACTATAAACATCTTTGAGGCTATCCATCGCATAATTACCAATTCACTTTTATAAGAATGCACTTTTCAAAAAGCCTCCCGAATTCAAATTGCGCAGTTGCCGCCGGAGCGGCGCGCAGGGCCGTGGTTTAAACGTCTTCCGTAAGTTGTGCCGTGTACTAGACTTCAGCCCCTTTTTCCCCTCCAAGTGTTCGTTTTGCACACGCGGCCCGGCGCGTGGCCCGTGGCGCGTGGCCCGTGGCGCGTGGCCCGTGGCGCGTGGCCCGTGGCCCGTGGCGCGTGGCGCGTGGCGCGTGGCGCGTGGCCCGTGGCGCGTGGCCCGTGGCGCGTGGCCCGTGGCGCGTGACCCGTGGCGCGTGACCCGTGGCCCGTGCCGAGTGGCGCGGGGTGCGAGCTTGTGCCGTGCTTGCGCAGGGCGGAGAGCGCGTGGGCGTGGCGCTGCGGCGCCGCGGGGCTGTGCGAGCGCGTGGCCGCCCACGGCGAGGCGCAGGCGTCGACGCTGTGGCCGTCGCTGCCGCTGTGCCGCCTGACGTGCGGGGCGGCGGGCGCCCTGTGGCCGCTGCCCACCGGGGAGGTGGCGCTGGCCGCCTCCCTGGCGCCGCTGCACCCGCGCGCCGTGCGGCCCCAAGTCATCTGCCCCACCAGCGCCGAGGCCACCCGCTTCCTGCAGGTAAGTCCCCCCACCCCCTCACACTCGAACAGTTTCTTTCAAAAGCACGTCAAGCGCCACAATAGAACAGGCGTCAGCGGCGGATTATTGCCCCAAGAGGATAGGCGCATCGCATAATGCATATTTATATACAAATATATTCATTTGTGAACTGCTTTAATAAATAAAAATATTTATTTTATTTGTCCAAAGAGTATAGTCGCATCGTATACTGCATACTTATATGAAAAATATTCATTTGTCAACTGATGTAATAAATAAAAAATTTTATTTTATTTGCACTAAGAGGATAGACGCATCGTATAGTGAATATTTATATAAAATATATATTCATTTGTGAACTGCTTTAATAAATAAAAATATTTTGCAATCAGAAAATTTGGGAGACCTTTTGTCGGTTTTCTTGAAATGAGGAATTTGGCGTCTGACGGGTTTCTGAAATTAACGATTCAATTTACCCGTCTTTTCATCATTAGTAATTACCTTCCGTATCGCCTAACATCCCAATAAGAAAATCTAGTACAATGCATCATAAAAATATCGTCTTGCTCAAAATTTGCACAATGTAATGACTTCTGACTTTCATGACACAAGTGCTGATACAGTCTTCATTAGTTTTGGATTAAATAAATATTATGTCATTTTTACATTACAGCATATCTCGTATCCATTACATTCAATTACACACTTCCTCCTTCCATCTCCATCGCTTGCCCCTCTCTCACTACTATGCCCCTCTCTTTGTCACCCACTCCTCTGTCTCCATTTTCGCCCTTTTCCGTCTGTATCTTCTGCGTCATCCTCTCCTCCATATTTTCCTTCGCATTCCACTCCTCCGCATCCCGGCCTTGTTCCTACTTCGTCTCCTTCGTTTATTACGTCTGTCCCTCTTCCTATTGGTCGTTTTTCATGCTAATGTAAATGGATGAGATAATTGTAATGGTGATTATACTGGCGAGGGATCACTGACATTTTACGAAGAAAAGGGATGGGAACGTAAGTAAAGGATGTCGAAACGCGGTGAAAGGAATCCACCACATCACATGATCTAAGTGCGCACAGCACCAGAATCCGCGCCGCTACGGAGCGATTCTGCGGATGCGCGCGCACGGTGAAGTCGGCTGCCCGAGTCGGCTGCCCGAGTCGGCTGCCCGAGTCGGCTGCCCGAGTCGGCTGCCCGAGTCGGCTGCGCCACGTAACCCGGCGCGTTGGCGCGTGCGCAGGAGGCCACGGCGTTGATGTCGGAGACGCTGGCACGCGAGTGCCGGGTGCCGCCGGTTGCCAACGCCAACGCCAGCGACCCGGACGCGCCGCTGCTCGTCGTGCAGTTCTGCATCGATGAACCCGGCCTGTCGCTCAAGCTCTCCACCAATGAGTCCTATGAGCTCAATGTGCGGACTGAAGGTAAGTGTGCAGGACGGGGTTTCTACCAGAATCTTGAGATATATTATTTTATGCAATTAGTTTATAATGTTAAGCTTTATTGCACGAGTACATGTTTTGAAAACGAGCGACTTTAGCAGCCAGTTTTCAACTTTGTACGAATGTAATAAAACAACATTATAAACGTGTTGCATACTATATATTTTTGTATATTATTTATTTTCAATCAGAGTCAGTTATATAAAATTATATAAATTACATATACTAATTTGGCACAGCAAATGTATTTTAACTATAAATAATTAATCACATTTTTTCTGTGGCATTATATTTCTATAAAATAGATATGAAAAAGTAAAAAGTTGTAAACTATTCTTCAATAATTGTTACTCACTGACTTAATTTTTACGGTGTATATTACGAAAACATTACTATCTACCTTCATCTATACTAGAGGTGAAGTTTCACGTTAATGAGTTAATGTTTGTATTTTCACCTTCATTTAACACTTTTAAAAATATTTTCCAATAATATTTGTTTGTATGAAAATTTCACAGGTAACATCTTTTCATTCCACTGCATTGTGGATGAATGTCAAAACTTTTAGAATTCCTATACTAACATATAAAAATAGCCACGTTCTCATTGCAACTATTGCCCACTATTGCCATTGCAAAAGTCGTTTTCCGCAATGGGAGTATTCCCACGTTGTTAACAGCCGCAAAACACTTTCAGTTTTCTATCCGTTTTGTAAGAAGTCTCATTACGTACATAACGAAATCACTGCGAGTATTTAGAGTAATATTTCTTCTCTTTGATGGGGAAAGATCATCCAGCATTTAGTATCAAGAGTTTCGTAAAAAGCGAAAAGCTCTCGGAAGACGTCATATTTATAGTGTCAAGGCCGCCAACATATAGTGAAAGCACACATTTCAAAATTACCATGCGTTTACACCAAGTTTCACGAAACTAATAGCCTCTTCTATCTGATTTCCTGATGATTTGAATATTATTATGCGCTTAAACCCAATACATTCACTATTGTAAACGATAACGGAGACTGGAACTAGCTGCAAAACGGCTCAATAATAATAGTGGCCATTGTTCTTAGTTAAAACGTTAGTTATTACTTTGTATCTATCGACGGTTGCATAGAAGGCATCTCATCGAATTTCGTTTTCTTTATGTACGAATTATTTGTATTGCACAAGCGGAAAATGGAAGAGGAATGACGTGCCATGAATTTTCATTGCACCCTTCCTTCAGGAAATGCTTTCCGATCAGCAATATTAAAAATCAGTTTACTAATAGAGAGGGAAAATGATAAAACCAAGTAAACAAACGATTGATCAAGGAAGATATACTTTATTACTAGATGCAATGACAATGAATAGAAAATAGATTGATTATGAAAGAGATAATACTGTTAATAGTGTCTTTATAGGCTGTATGTAAATATTGTAAACCCAACAGTTTCACCTTCAACTTTAGTGCAGACATTTTTTCATCAATGAAAAGAGCGACGAAAGAAAGAGGTGGTTCACGATTCGATTGGAAGGGAAACCTGTTTTATAAGTACAAGATAATTGGGACTTCGAAGAACATTTATTGAGAGCCCTAGAAACGGTGACATAATCAATTACGACGTCTCTTGCGATTCATAGTAATGTAACATTGCCTTCCACGTCTTAATCCCAAATGGTAACAGACATGTTTGACTAGAAAAGTCAAGCGATGGCTTTGCTGTCACATTCCTTGACTTGCAGAAAACCGCTTCTTCTTGTATGCCCATGAAGTGTGCCGGTGAAAGTTGGCAGTAGGTAGCTTGCTCCACTGATATCTTCAACTCAATCTTTGTATTTCAAATACTTTATTTATTTACGGTGTGATATGGTCAAGTGAGATACAAATCAAATCATTTTTAAATCTTTTAAATCTCTGTGAAGGTGGGAACCCTCTACATCTCGGTAGATGCTTGTGAACCTGTTTCCAAGGTGACAAAAATACTTTCACTCAGCTTTATAAACGCTCACTGCTCACTTTGCTGTCTGCTGCGTAAGTGCCCCCTTCAAATGGGATGTGAAAAATCTCTTCAACAAACAGTTATGATTGGACAACTGTAGAGAATCTTGAGTGATACAAAGATGTGATTGCAGAATATAATCTGAGAACGCCAGAAGATGATTTTACGGCAAGAACATTACGACCATTATGTACTTTTTCGAAAGCATTTACTCATGCACTGTTTCACATAAATATATATTATTTTCGAATAATTTACGAAAATAAACAAATATTGATCATAACCATAACAACCCTGACTGCATCAGTTAAATTATGATTGTCTATATTATGTTTTCTTGATAAAAGTTTCCAAATCAAATTTGTGAGACAATCAGTTTTTTTTGTTTTATTTAAGAAAAACAAAAAACACTGATAGTCCTAAATATGATTAGCTAACATAATTTTCAATAACATATGATTTCAATTTTTTTTGAGAAACAAATAAAAAGGCAAAATATCTTTCTAGTTTTTGCATGAAAACTATCTCACTGCCAAATATTTAGACAGAAGGATAGGAATGAATTGCCTAGCAAAGGACCAAACGTCGAATGTTTATACTAAACTTTAAAATATTTTTAAACAACTTTCTCACAGCTACAACGAGGAAGTCCATAACTAAAAGCAATATTTCCATTGGAACACTTCACTGGCTAAATGAGAAAACGAAAGTTTCCTTTTGGTCGAATCCTATACATTCGATTCGAATCGAATCGAATCCTATACATTACATTCGATTCGAATCGAATCGAATCCTATACATTCGAATCGAATCGAATCGAATCCTATACATTCGAATCGAATCGAATCCTATACATTTGAATCGAATCGAATCGAGTAGAGTCGAATAGAGTCGAATCGAGACTCGAGCCATGAGGCCAGCTCTTCCGTTTGACCATGCAAATTTCGTTATGCTCCTTTCACCAACTAGAGGAGAAAGGATATATTTGACACATAAAATGGGAATTAATGCCCTTTATTGAGTTAAAAAGGTAGGCTTCAAAATAAAGAACAGGTTTTTGTAGAAAAAAATAAATAAATAAGAAAGGGGAATGCCGCCTTTGGTTGTGGAGGTGCTCACGCCGGGCGTCCCGCAGGGCCGGTGGTGACGGCGTCGGTGTCGGCGCCGACGGCGTTCGGCGCGCGCCACGCGCTGGAGACGCTGTCGCAGCTGGCGGCGTGCGACGCCGCGGAGGGCGGCGCGCCGCCAATGCGCGTGGTGGCGCGCGCGCGCGTCGTGGACGCGCCGGTGTTCGCGCACCGCGGCCTGCTGCTCGACACGGCGCGCCACTGGCTGCCCGAGCGCGCGCTGCGCCGCACCGTCGACGCCATGGCCGCCGCCAAGCTCAACGTGCTGCACTGGCACGCTACCGACTCGCACAGCTTCCCGCTGCTGCTGCCGCGCGTGCCGCAGCTCGCCAGGTGGGCCGCCGCTCAGTTCGCCCGCGCTTGACTTGAGGTTCCGCTTCCCGCCAAGAACTCAACTGGAAGGGCGTTAGTCTGTTAGGTGTTCAAGAATCCTGTCCCCAAACACTAAAATGCACCACTTTCCGTCATTTATCGAGAGGAATTACAGATGTCCCACCAAGTAGAACTGTCCCCATAACTTCTAAATGGTTCAGGATACCGGAATGGAGCTTTCTCTTAACATTGTGGAATACTAGAGCAAGTAAAATGCGGTAGATTAATTGCCTATAATATATTCAGTTGTGAAGAAATGTAATCAACTTTAATTTTTTAAATAAACTATATATTTTTCTCACCAGCAATGAATAGATCTTGAAAAGAGGAATAAAATGATGTATCATACGTTAGTATTTTTATAGTAATTTGAGAATAAAATATCACTTCCACACTTCTACTCAAGAACGCAAAAGCGCGCCCTCGACACTTCTCAAGAGAAAAGCAAAACAAGCTGTCTCGCTCCCCGCTGGCGTATTCACGTCTCCTCTCTGTTCACGACTGAGACGATCGTTCTCAACTGTTCTTCCGTTGAACGCTTCTCTTTAAACTATTCTAACTAAACTTCGGCACCCAACCTTCCGTCAACTTCTATCACTATCACTGCTCTCACTCTACCACTTGTTGGCGTTAAATTTGACTGATGTTAACGAGTCTTGCGGGCGTTTGGCCACCGAAATATTGGCAAAATTCACAATATATATGTTTAATTCAGCCGTTGCATGTAATCTATCGGCCGGCTGTTATGATCAGTAATTTTTCGTGAAGTCTTTGGTCAATACCTTCCAGAGCAGTACCTTCACAAACCGCCTACGGTCCGCACGAGATCTTTCCTTTTCTCTTCCTTGTCCTCCCCTCACCCCTTAATAACACACACACACACATACAAGATCTGTACTACCACACATGTCTGGAGACCAGTCAGGAGCTTAGAGCTTGTCCCGGCTGGGGCGGTGCCTCGCTGGTGGGAGATACCTGGTAGCTCCCGCAAGCTCACGTGTATGTCGGATATCGCCGTCCAGTGGAGATAGAACACAGCCGCCTCCCGTAATAAAAACAGTCGCAATTACTGGCATGCACTACATTAACAACCTTAGCAGTTGACGTGCCTAGAAACACCAATGTAACAATAAATCAATCATAGGCAGTCGTACAGTCGTGATGTCTGTCCGAGGAGATGGGTCTCCTGAATCATCCTTTCCAAGGTCTCGTCCAGTTCATTCATTCCGAGCGGATTCCGGAACGGTACTTTGTGCCGCACGCGATCCTTCCTTCTCCATTCAGTTCATAACCCCGTCCAAGGTTCGAGCACCCAATTGATCGTCCACTGGCGTGTGAGCCAACTTTCAAGATCTTCAAAACCTCTGGCAGGTCTGCTCCTGACCGACAGTCCAGCTTTACTCCTTCGATGGAGAGTCGCAATTTTTTGATTTTCACCTCACCAGTTGCCCTAGAGAGGCCGGAAATTTACTTGTCTTTCGGATACATTTACTGCAGCTTTACTGAGGCTTTTGCAGTTAACTTAAATAAACTAACTGAATTGAATTGAATTAATGCCTTATTTTAAGTGGCGAGACTCGGGCCATCAGGCCCGCTCTTCCGTCTAACCACGCAAATTTCGCTATGATCCTTTCACCAACTAGTAGAGGAAGGAGGTATTTCTTGGGCGAGAAACAGGCGATTTTGAATTTAGCTCAGAGGCGTCATTTAGGCTTGAGGATCTTTTACATTCACGTAAATCTACTAACATGGGACAACCGGCTTTACTTCCCCTCCGAAGGAAGGCGTACAAAGGATTTGTTCGCCCTTGGATCGGGTTTGAACCCGCCGCTTGGGTATACCAGCCCGATACGCTAACCGTTACACCATCGCCGCGCGCCACTAGTCAAAGAGTTATTTGTGACGTAGTGAAATAAGAATAAATTCAGATAATAATAAAATAAGTATATTGAAAAGTTACAAACAAGTTACAATAGATTGCTAAATTTAAACCCTCCGGCAACCATTTCTTTCCAGTACCCTGCTTTACCGCAGAAAAAACCTACGCGTGATGCGAGCTGTCGGACTTCCGTCCTGTGACTATCACCCTCACATGGCCTGACGCCAAAATTTAAACCGGTCGCCGTCCGGCGAACCGCGTGCCTACAGCATCCGAGATCGTCTGGCTCTTACACTCCGGACATCTCGCCCACACTCCTACGCTCACCGTAACTACTCGTCCTGGCACAGATGGCGCCGCGTTAAATAGTTGAGGGCCTACCCCCCCCCACACACACACACAAGTTTCCTAGGTAGGCTCGCCTGCTGTCGGCAAGCGAAGGCTCGCTGGCCAGCATCTTAGGAGCTGGCTAGCTTCACAGCTTAGGCTCGCTAGCTAGCTTCACAGCTTAAGGGTATTTTTGGCTCTGCCACGCTGTCTGCGTCAACTGCCAGCGCGCAAAATCCCGGAAGTTCAGGCTCAACCCTTTCCTCCCCTGCAGCGTGCTTTCGCCGACCCAACGGTTCTGGCGCTCGCGTTAACGACGCCCCATGCTAGAGGGCGCGGGCGCGCGTGTGCAGGTACGGCGCGTACTCGTCGGCGCAGACGTACTCGTCGGGCGCGGTGGCGCGGCTGGCGGCGTACGCGCGGGCGCGCGGCGTGCGGCTGCTGGTGGAGCTGGACGCGCCGGCGCACGCGGGCGCGGGCTGGGAGTGGGGGCCCGCCGCGGGCAAGGGCGAGCTGGCGCTGTGCGTCGCCGCGCAGCCCTGGCGCCAGAGCTGCATCCAGCCGCCCTGCGGCCAGCTCAACCCCGTCAACCCGGCCGTCTACGACGTGCTGCTCGACGTGTACAGGGACCTCCTGGACGCGCTGCCGGCCGACGAGCAGCTGCACCTGGGCGGCGACGAGGTGAGCCAGCCTGCTTTGCAGACACCACACCGCGGCGCCCTGCTCTCGACAAACAATTTCTTCTTCTTCTTCAGACACCAGCATCGTCTCTTCGTAGTTGGTCATTATCTCAAACATTCAACCATTTGAGTTTCTCAGGCGTGTTTTTGCACTTGCATACTCTCCCCTTCCCAAATATCAGATGCAACGACTCTAAATTTCTTTCAGGCGTTATTGTTATTATTATTATTATTATTATTATTATTATTATTATTATTATTATTATTATTATTTTTATTATTATTATTTTTATTATTATTATTATTATTATTATTATTAGTAGTAGTAGTAGTAGTAGTAGTAGTAGTAGTAGTAGTAGTAGTAGTATTGCTATTATTGTTATTAATATTCCTTAAATTCATGACTTAAATGTAATATGTCAGGTAAATGTAAAATCTAGATTCCAAGTAGCTTCTTACGGTGCAGATCTAATGCCTGCCTAATACTTAGCGCAAAATATGGGCCGTTAACAATAACGCGATATCACACGCATTTCCACACTTATGAATTTCGGAAATAGAAGTATAGGGACGACCTATTCAATCTCAAAACTCTTATATTTAAGACCGCTTCTGTGCCTCTTGTTTCCATGTTCTGCTTACAAGGCACAGCACCAAGTAGTCACCTTTTTTCTCCAAATCACGAATAACGATGCAGCATACGCCAACTAGACCACGGCCTACTAGCTCGGAAAATCTATCTTCTTCTTAAAGTCTGTTTGTCAGTTCGAGTAAGTTACATTTATTACCTTCCGTCAATCTATTCCCATTCATAAGAACTGAAAACTAGTCAAACGAAGCAAGTGAAATTCGAATTTATAATTCGAATCTTTTTCAGTTTTCGAAAATTCTGAGTGCGCCAAAAATGCTACAATCACTACTACAAAATGATTAAAAGAAAATAAAAAAAAGTATAAAAGAAATTGAGACCCGTTATTGAACAAGTAATTTCTTTAAAATTTATAAATTATCTACGATTATTGCGAAATTGTACGTGACCTTATGTAAAGATATTTGCGATGAACACATTTCATTAAGGGAAAAAAAATGTTCATTTTCTTAACCGTACTTTACGAAATCCAGAAGTTTTAGTGTCACTAGTTTTAAATTTAATTTAAAACTAGTGACACTAAAACAGCACATACTTTCTCGCACTTTAGTAACGGTTATGAAATAGTATTATATCGCATTCCTGTTTCTATCAAGGCATGTCAGTCGATGAGCGCTGACAACAAAGCGCGCATGCAGCGAAGGGCGCTGCGAACAATGGGAACATATATTTCTTATCAATTCTTCCTAAAAGCGCCATTTTTGCCATAAATGGCACTGTTTTTACTTTCTCGTATACATACGTATATGCGAAGTAATATACGTAGTATAGGGAAAATTGTGGAATGATGCGGAGAATCTATTTGGAGATTTCAACGGAAATACGCGTTTTAGGGTTCCTTGAGACCGAAAAAGTGTTTTTTTCAAAACGTCCGTCGGTCTGAACAACACTAGCCCCTAAACCAGGCGGAGATTTTTTTTCAAATTGAAGAAACCCCTGTTCATGAGTCGAAGCGCTGTAATTTTGAAAATCATTCGTTTTGAGGGAAGTTTATATGAAGCCCCTGGTACATTTTCAAAATTTCCTCAAAGGCTAGCGATTGTACTATATACACTCTAAGATGATATAGACGCCATATTGCTCTATCCTTTTGTTTTTCAACAATTTCAAAAATGTAATTTTTTGACTTGTCTCTCACGTCTTTAATATTGACATTAGCGGCCATTTCTTCACATTAAATTAAAAATAAACACAACATGATTTTTTCCTTGTCTCCATGATATTTTAAGTTCATTTTTAAATGTTTTATTTTATTTTAAATGAATACATACAATCAAACAAACCCATAATTAGTTCCTTCATAATTCATTAAGAAATAAAACAGTTGAAGATGTCTCGGAGCAGAAATCCCACTAAAATGATTCATTTTGCTGCCAAGTTCGTACGTTAGTTGTGTGTAAAAAAGATTAAATAATGAACGATTTTTTTTATTTCCAGTACATCATACAGACAAGCAAGGATACTTTTACAAATAAACGGAGCGTCCAGAAATAAATGCCATCCAATAATCCCTTTATAATTGCTTTCGAAACAACGAATTCATTACCTTGTAAAATTGTTTTATTTCTCATCGCTTCAAACAATTATTTTTTAAATATAATGTTAATGTTAAGCACTTTACTATTCGTAAAAACATAATATCTGACAAATCATTTCTTGGTTGTGCAGCATTACATTCTTTAAATACAAAAATAATTAAAATTTGCAGAAAATTAACAAGTAAACAACAATGTCACTGCCTTCAATTCTATTGCAATTTCTAATTTTACCATTAACGCGAAATATTTCGTTTTGACGCAAAGGAAGAACTGGAGCTTTTGAGTGCAGTGCAGAAATGCCTTATTAGACGAAATGAGTCGTGATGTGGTGACCATGGAATCCAAATACAGGCGTTTTCAAGTGACGTGTTTCTTAGTTAATGAATTGTGTTTTTCTCTAATTAAAAGGTTCGAAAAGGAAATAATTAAATAGAAAATCAATAAACATTCTCCATAAAAAATCCCAATAAAAAACTGGTTAATTGTAGAATTTAGTGCCTCTGTACTCTGAGTATAAATTTCTCACATTTGATTTCTACTTGTGTTCAAGCTGTGTAGAATGGTTGGTAGTGTCATTAGGACATTAAATCAGCTTGGTCAGAGGTATGATTGTCATTGTGTTGATGCATTTCCATATTGATAAGATTAATCTATTGTGACAAAAAGGTGTATATTAATTATTGCTCTTTTCCTAACGACAAGGTTTTGTTGGTTGATAATTCCATAATATTTTGGGTATATCTCAAGAAATTTTAAAAACATTCGGTTTCCGAATCCTGTCGTATCAGTTTCACAATTTGTAGCACTGATAAAACAACGAATGACATTCTTGTTAATATCGGTATTCCATTTAATTCGTTGTCTGACAAGGCCTGCTGTAGTGGTGGTCGGTTGATTATCCGACAACACGTTCAGCAGATGAAGCATATTGTTGTTGGATGCTTCTAATATTAATTTATTATTATTGTTATATTATTATTTTTAGCCATTTCTGACTACGCTACACATCATCTCCCGAGCCCCGCCATATTCTATCCCGGAGTGACATTAACGTGTGTAATTACAGGGATCAGCTTTTCGGTTGTATCCCTTGGTAGGACAAGGTTGTTAAGCCTTGAATTAATGATTTAAGAGGTGATAGGATGATAATGAGAGGTGCTTTTTAAACCACCCCAGCATTCGCCTGTACGACCAAGGGAAACCACGAAAACCCCTGTGAAGACGGCCGGCCCGGGAGTCGAACCCGGGCCTCCCGATTGCAGAAACCATGGCGCTACGCACCGAAACACTTCACTTGGTTTATTATTATTATTATTATTATTATTATTATTATTATTATTATTATTATTATTATTATTATTGCTACTTTCCATTTCCTTAGACCTGTAAGTTTACTTTGGGAACTGCGCGCAGGTGTTCATCCCCTGCTGGAACTCCTCGTCCGAGGTGCTGCAGTGGCTGCAGCAGAATGACCGCGGCCGCGAGACAAACGACTTCCTCAGGCTGTGGTCCGACTTTCACTCGCTGCAGCTGGGCGCACTGGACAGAGCGCGTGCTCTTAAGGGCTCCAACAACGTTGCAGACAACGCGCCCATCCTGTGGTCCTCGCACCTCACCAATCCCAAGGACATCGAACAATACGTGGATAGCCAGCGGTGAGCCTTGCTTCTTCGTCCGAAGGACTGGAGAGTTACGTCTCAATGCGAGGATAGGATTTTGATGATCGAAGAAGTACATAAAATGACCCCAAAATAATGCATCTATACCACAAACATCTGTCAGAAAATGTCACAAAAAATTAGCAATAACATATTCATGTTTATAATGAGAAATAATATTTTCCTCACTTAAGTCAATCACTAGTTAATGTTAATAAAACGTTCAAAATAAACGAAATAAAACTATGTTATGAATCAACATTAATATTATTTTATATTGTAATATTATTACAACACTACAAAAAAACAGGAATTGTGTAAATTCTGATTTGGAATTCAACATAAATCTAGGCAGTAGTTGTATAGTAATTAACGAAACGAGTGAATAAAGAGGAGTTGCATGAATCATATATTCAAGAAAACGAGCGACAATAAGAGCGAGTTTCCTTATTTATCACGAGTGTAATTATATCCTTTTATCCACATATTTCGTTCAATAGTTTTTCGTTTCCATTTAAGAACACTTAATTTTGAGAAAATCGAGCATATCTTTACCATTTGAGGCATCTATTTGATGACGTCATATTGGTTCTCACCAGACCTGACTGTTCCTGTAGGCCTTACAGTGTATATTTACAATCACCGTAGTTTATTAGAGAAAAAGAGTTTGAAATAAGAAAGAAAGATTGAAAAAGGAAGATATTTAACATATTCAGGATGCAATATTACAAAATGATGACAAAGCCATGAAAACATTACTTCGCACGCAAAGAAAGGGCATGTATGAGAGAATGTGTGTTTCTGTTGGAAAGGAGAAAGACGTTTTGCTGGCGAAATTTTCAGAGCGGGTAATTCCAACTGACTATTATATTTGTAATATGCTAAGACGAAAAGTCTTACACGTAACACTTTCATTCACATTAAATATTTAATGCTGTTCCATTAGTCAGCTAGTGTCAAACAATCATGCATATGGTCATACTTGTTTATGTTGAAGATGTTGCATGTTCTACTCGCGCAAGTTCTCTTGATACCCGTCCCCTAGTTCTCATCCAGCGCTGAGTAGGACGACCCGTTGAGATACTTAGGTTCGGCTCGGAACGGCACGTACCAATTTACAATGCTGGCAACAACCACCTCGTACTTTCAAAACAATCGTAGGATTTCTGGTGGCGAATTAAATTCATGCCCACAGTGGGTAAGCCCTTCAGTCGTGACGTAGCCAAATCTTTCCTCTCCCCGCACCCAACGCTATGGCATATCAAGAAAATTTGCGTGAATAGTAAAGGAGAATATCAATATTTCAAATTATGAACAATTAAATTAATTTTTTAAATAAAGAAGTTTTGTCCATACAACTGCTCTTCCTGGGCCGTCATGTTCGAATAGGAAGTAAACACATCTGTTCAATATAAAGCGACGTCTGTGTTGAGATGGTTGATGCCAAGTAAGGATATGGTAACAGTCCCTAATTTAACTATTAAATATTAACACGATTGTCTAAGGATTAGTAATTTTGTTTCATTCATTCATTCATTGATTATATGTTTTTGATGTACGTATTCTGATATACATTTTTGTTCATGATTCATTGCTGACTGGAAATACCTGTGTTATAGAGATAATTAAAAATTTTGATCATTTTTCTGAGTATTGATTGGTAGTTGTGAATTTTTAATTATGCGGTGGAGTTCTAATTGCAGGCATGCAATAAACATAGTGAAAACTAAGTATTCATCCGCTTTATTTTTCATGTGTTTAACTGTTCCAGCTTTATCATTCAACCGTGGGAAACTCGAAACAGTCACCTGGCGGAAGATCTAATGGCCCTCGGCTACCGCATTATCCTCACCCACAAGGACGCGTGGTATCTGGACCACGGCTTCTGGGGCCACACCTCCTACTACAGATGGAAGACCGCTTACAACGCCCGCATGCCAACCGTCGGGCGCACCTCTAACCAGTTACTGGGCGGCGAGACGGCCATGTGGGGGGAGCTGGTGAGTTGCTCTCTGCCTTAAAAAGGAGGCGTGAAGATTCTCGCTTTCATCAAAATTAAAAATATTCGTTTTGTTATTTAATGCGCATTTAGGTCATATGTAATAATCATCATCATTATCATCATCAATATCATCATAATAATAATCATCATAATCCGATCCGGATTGCCGAGATCGCTAAAGCAGTACTGCCATGGCAATCTCGGATGGAGGGATCGCAGGTTCGAGTCCCGCCACGGGAATGGTTGTGCGTGTGTGTGTCTTTATGTTTGTAATTGTCCCATTACCCTTCATCATCATCATCATCATCATCATCACCCCAGGCTAACAACTCTGGAGTGTAAAAATGGATTTGGAATAATATTGAGTAGTAGGTTACTAATATACAATGGAAAGGGAATAGTAGAAACAAGAAGTATTCAAATTAACAGAGGAATTTTTCAAGGAGATTCACTATCCCCTCTACTGTTTTGAATTAGTTAGATTCCACTACCTGGACCAAGCATGCCAAGGTCGCGGGCGAGGTATCATGCTTCCCAAAGCTCGCAGTTCAGAGAAAATGCGAGAGATTTAAAAGTAAAGCTTGTACAACCCTCTCCGGAGTGGGAGTACGTAACTAGATATCTGACCTTGGCAGACTTTTCGAGAAGACAGTTGATAGTTATTACCTCAAAAGCTACATAAATTCCTTTGAGACAAAGAAATAATCCATTAAAATGAAATAATACATCGTTCCGATTTCAAATTCTCAATTGACAGGGAAATTTTAAAAAAATCAATGGCATCTTCATTTTCTAATCCAGTTTACTTAAGAGTTATTTAAAAGTATGAACTTTCTCCGTTCAGGTTAGAAGGTTTAACATACAAATATTGTCTGTTAAGCACATGCTGATTAGTGCCCGCCTTTTAAGGAACTACTCCGACATTCGCCCGGAATTGATCGGAGAAATGTCATAAAACTACCGATCAGGACAACCGACGCCTAGAATTCTCTTTCAGTCAGTTGTTGAATTCGATCTAATAGTGTTGTTAGTGTCGGAAGTTCGCCATTATGACACCAGAACTCTAGGACCTCCTGGTCAGCGACGCTACAGAAGCATCAGCGAAGATACTTCAGTCATCCCAGTTGGTACCGGTGGGTTTGAAATGATTAATGAAGAGGGCAATTGTTCGGCTGGGGTGCCTGACTCACACGATGGCGGATTTTCGACAGTCTACATAGCTAGGTGCAAATCAGAAGCAGTTTGGAGCAGAATTCTAGCTGCCAGTTGCGCTGATTGGCAATTTTGTGTGGTTTCACAGATCAGTTTAACGCACATGGTGATCAATACCTTGACAACAGGCCACGGACCGCGCGCGATCTTTCTTAACTCGTCCTTGCCCCCTGCTCTGTCCGTACACTTTCACAGACACACATTTACATGCACTACACTACCGCACACATGGGAAGAACAGTCGTGAGATTAGAACTTGTACTGGCTGGGTCGGTACCCCGCTGGTGGGATATACCTGTAAGTAGGAAGCCCCCCCCCCCCCAACACAGCAGGTAGGTGTGGTTTGCTTGCCCTTGGTTTGCTTCTGGACATAAATGTAACTTCAAATTAAACTCTCCTCATAGCACGTTACAAACAGTTTTAAACTGTTTTTGACGTACGTAAATAAATAAATAAAATAAATAGGTTGCCGCCGAATCTCTTGCGCCCCAGCGATGGACGAACACCAGCTCCACGTGTTTCTTTATGTATGTCGACGCGTTCAATTCGAATCCGCGGTCAATTCGAAATCGAAGTGCTCCACTCTCCAGTTCTTTTTAAACCGCGAAAAAAACACCGCAAAACTTACAATTTCCCCGCGGTTTTTCGCGAATAACGAAACTGGAGGGTGGTGGTGAAATTCTGGCTTGAGATTCATATTCAGCGCGTCGACATCCTCAGAGAAACATATGTCCAGTCTTTGGATCTGACGACAAACACTGAAAATAATAACATAGAATTCACAGTGGTTTTTCGCGATTTAAAGAGAACTGGAGGGTGGGGGCACAATTCTGACTTCGGATTGAAATTGAGCGCGTCGACATACATAAAGAAACACATGTCAAGTCGTTGAGTCTCGCAACCTTTTTGTGTGTGTGTGTGCTTGCGTTATTTTCGTGTTGGCGGGCGAGGCCACTGATGTGGAACTGTTGAGCGCGTCGACATACATAAAGAAACACGTAACAAGTCTGAGTCTCGAAACCTATTTTTGTGTTGGCGGGCGAGGCCACTGACGTGGAACTGTTGAGCGCATCGACATACATCAAGAAACACGTGTCAACTCTTTGAGTCTCGCAACCTTTGTGTGTGTGTGTGTGTGTGTGTGTGTGTGTGTGTGTATGTGTGTGTGTGTGCTTGCGTTATTTTCGTGTTGGCGGGCGAGGCCACTGATGTGGAACTGTTGAGCGCATCGACATACACGTGTCAAGCGACCCCCCTGTGTGTGTGGCAGGTGGACGAGCAGACGCTGGACGGGCGCGTGTGGCCGCGCGCGGCGGCGGCGGCCGAGCGGCTGTGGAGCGACCCGGAGACGGACGCCGACGCCGCCGAGCCGCGCCTGCTGCAGATGCGCGAGCGCCTGGTGCGGAGGGGGGTACGCGCGGCCGCCGTCACGCCCGAGTGGTGCTACCTCAACGAGGGCCAGTGCTAGCCAGCGCCGCGTCGCGCCGCGCCCTCTCCACCTCTACCTAATCATCGATGAAAATTGCAACGCGGCGACGCCACGGCCGGGAGCAACGACGAGTCAGAAGCCCCCCCCCCCCCCCCCCCCCCCCCCCCCCCCCCCGGGTGCACGTTCTGCTGACAGAACGAATGAATGGAGGGGCACGAATGTCACAGTTAATCCTAGCGTTATTATGTGTCGAGGGTGATGAGTTGCTAGTACAAAAGTGCTAACGCCGGCTTCTTCCTTACCCACCAACCATATTATTGTATTCGGACCTTACAGGGTGCAAGAATAAGAGCGCTTGTTGTGTCCGGTGCGCCTTTGCGTAATATTCACCAACTTCGCACGATAAACATTTGTCGCATTTGTGGGAAATTCGAAAGGTGTTAGAATGAAGTACTAAGCATAATATGTAAATAAAACCATGGCTGTGTAAAGTGACATCAGCGCGGGCTTTTCCATCCAGCGCGCCTCCTAAATAGCAAAGTCGCATCCTTAGATTGGAGAACGAGATGAAATGAAGATATCTGGTGCTTTCTGGCGCGTTGGTTGTCTCAAACTACCCTTCTCGGCTAACAGCGCCTTTTTCTCCATTTTTAGAAAATTCTGAGTGAAAAATTTAAAGATCGTAACATTTGAAACTGTCTATTTCTGTACAAGAATAATAAGAAACTACGCCATAATGTACGGTTGACAAACATTATAAAAAATAAAAATTTCAAATGTTGCAATAAAAATTTCAAATGTTCACAAATGTTTGCTTTATTCTCTCACCAAAAGTCATTTAAACAATCACACTCTCTGCAAACTTTCAATTGAACAGGATTATTTATGAAAATAAAAAGTGTGTTAACTACGCGAAAATTCATCATGCAAGAAACTTTACCCTCTTTGATTAAACCAACAGGACGCAGGCAAGTTTTAAGAGATTCTTTTTTAAAGTTGGTTGCAGTCAATAGATTGCTCTGTTGTTACCATAGTTTCCAATTCGAAAAGGTCACAAGCGCGCTGTACGCTTATCGGCGCGTCGACACTTGCCTGCCGATCGCAAACGGTTGTCTGCGAGCCAAGGGGCGAAACGTTTTTAACATAAAATGGGTGTGGGTTAATTTTTTGTATTTTTTATTTTTTTTATGCTACAAGCCACTAAAAAGTTATTACTTGACCATTCGATTTATGTAATTTAAATTCACATTATTTCCTCAATTTTACTTAATCTGTTCTCTATTTTTATTCAATTATTAGCCTATATTTTAAACAAATTATTTTGTATAAATTCTAGTCCTGAACGTATACACTTTCCATACCGTATTTTACGGACTACAAGACGCTACGGACTATACGCACTTTTCAGGAACAGTTGTGTTTCGGGATACGGAACAAGATTCACTTTCTTCCAGGCTCCTTAAAGGGTCAAATCTATTTTTAATGCGAAAACCCACATAGTTGATTATAGCCAAACACGATTTTTTTTCTTTGGTTGCTTGTTGGATTTAGATCACTATGCCCTCGCTTATCACTACGCCCTCGTTGCACTTTGAAGTACTCGCAGTGTCGTCAGCCGGCAGATAGTTACTGACCTTATTTAGTTGATCCCTAACATTGTCAGGCGGCATTGTTCCACTTAACATGGGAGGCTGATCTAGTTGATGTTGTTCCAGTAGATGCTCTGGAATTTGTTGGAATGATGTTTCACGAACGTCACGTTTTGCTGAGCGACCTCCATTTCGCCCTCGGTCGAATAGACCAGAGCGAGGACATCTAGAATACACTGGCGAAAGCCAACGCTGTCGGGACCACACAATTACAACTGTTGATAACTATTACTGTAGCACTTAAACTTTCACTGGAACGCGCAACACAGGCACGAGGCGAGGCGCAGCGCTGTGCGCTTAGATCTGTCCTGTGCGACTGTTCGCAACAGAGTGGCACCGTAGGCTAGGCGGTGTTTAGGGTTTGTGTTGGCGGGGCGGGAACGAGACAGTGTTGTACTTCGATTTTTTTAACGTGGCGCTGGACGTAAATCAGCTGTTGACGGTGTCATCGAACCAGGTGCTTAAACCACAGTGATGACGTTCAAGCTCCCGTTTGAATGACACCGTAATAGCTTATTTACGTCAACTGGCACGTTAAAAAAATCGGAGTATAGCAAGCTTGTGAATCCCTGCAACTCCTGTTCATCGTATCGGTGCACTGCTGCTGCCAGTTAGAATCCAATGTTGCCAGATAGAGATAGGTTTCCGCTGGCATCTATCATTATCTTCTGTATGTATTTATATTTTTGGGGGGAGGAGAGGTTGATTTACGAATTTAATTAAAATTAAAAGCCTAAAAAGCATATTTAAACAAGACAAAATTAAATTTCTATTATTCATTCTGTGTTCACTGGTTGAATGAACATTTTGGCGATCCACATCTGGTTTCTGAGATACAGTTCTGGTAATCCAGTCAGCTCTGAGGAGGAAAGTATTTCGTTAAACTCTCTTGGGAGTCCTCAACCCAGTAAGATATTCAATTATGACTGCGGTGTCGCTTCTAATTTATTTAGACGTGCGTATAGTATATCAAGGCAGAGATGACAATTGAAAATTAGTTTCGCGTCTGTCAACCCCCAAATTTCGAAAATTTCATAAAAGGTTTTTTTAATTTAAAAATGTATATTAATATTCTCCAAAATTTTGCATTCGTTTCTTGGAGGAACATTACTTAAATTTAATTATTTTGTAAATTTTGGGCACCAAAATATTATTGTGAATAACAGGGCACTGTAAACATACACAACACATTCATTGAAGATGAAGGGAGAAATTGTTGGAACTATAATTAATTGCCCTTTGTGGGTTTTTTATTACCATACCGAGACAATAGATATCTTTGTACCTCTGGACCAGATCAGGAAAAGAATTACATAGAACGTGTATGAGCTAATCACTGAGTCTCGGAGATTCTTCCTTTACGGCTTGGGCTGCAGTGTTCAGTCTGGGAAACGACAAAGTTTTGTGACGTTTATCATATAAATACGAACTAGTGGTGCTACAGAATGGCACACACTTTCCCGTATTAGTTTTCTATTTCCTTTGGTTCTGCTAGCAGTTCAGACTGGCCACATACTCTAGCCAGCTGCCATCTATCCCCAAGGTACATTTTTTTTAATCTTAATTTTTCGGCTTACTAATAGCACAATGAAAATATTATTTTAAGAATATTAAAGAACAGTAAAACCTCGTCCTAACAAAATTTGATGATATTGATACAAAATTCATTGTTAATGTTATGAGACCCTTCTCTATTATAATAAGAAATATTACTAATACAATGAATAACTACTAAACGCGCGCGTTTCCTTGAGCACTGGATGACATATTCCCACTCATTTACTAATATTTGTTGTTATTAAGAATAAATTATAGCAAGAAGCGGTGTAGACCTAATCTGATATACAGAAATGTTCGCATCTGTAGAATTTCCGTATATTTTGCATTGAAAAACGAGCTCTAAATTAGATATAGTAGTCTTGCCACGAAATAATCACCTCCTCCCCACTCCTGTCGCATCTTGTAGAATTAGGGCACAGGCGGAAGGTGATGAAGGGAACTGTATCCAAACATAATGTCGCACCGCCAATAGAAAAGTGACACAAGTGCGAATTTCTGATCTTCTTAGGAATTGCTATTTTAAGTTTCGTAGTTTTGTAATTCTTGTTATATATTGTACCAAATATCCACCTTCTAGCGGACAGTAATTGAACTAATTAAAAATCAACTTCAGAATAGTAGCAGTACCTCTTGGTAACCTCTTATCTGCTTTTAGCTGAAAATGACGATTTCGTACTTGTGTCACTTTTCTATTGGAGGTGCGATATACAATTTTATAAGACCAGTAATCGATTTCATTACGAAACTCAATGGAAGTAAGAATAAATCAAATAACTGTAAATCATTACCAAGTTTTGAGAAATAAAGTGTGAAACGAGATCACTTTTGGTTGTATTATGTATTTTCAAAAGTATTTTAAAATATTACTTTTTATTTGATATCTAAAAATACGTTTATAAAGAAGTATTTTGTATCTGAAATACTTTTTTCAAGTATTTTGCCCATCTCTGGCAATTCTTTATTTAACTATCACACATTTTGTTCAGGGCCCGTTATTTTACAGTATTGCTCAATCTTGTAAATAAAATAAAAGTGTACAATAAACATTTCGGTGTATAATTTTAATTTCATATATTGTTTACTAAATATTGTTAGGTAAAAGTAAATAATTTGCAAGCGAAATTATATGCGTCCATTTGGACCCAGAATATTGAACGGGAGTAAATTTGACGGCTACCGCCGCGCCGGCTTACGTCCGTTATGACGTTCATACCCCTCTGCACACTGTCAATTTCCTGGTGTTTATCTAAGTTTCCTATATAAGTAAATGTAAGTTATTCAAATTTAGTTTCTAATGTAAGTTATGTCTCTGTAAAGGTGATATAGAAATTTACTAATTCAAACATAATTATTATGTATGTCTTTTCTTAGTTATTTTCGCGCTGGGCTTTTCCGTTTCTCTCACTTGTAAAGTGACATCTCTATGTAAATCATACATACGATATTGCTATTAAAATCAATTACAGCTAACGTTTAGTTTCATCAAAACAGCTTCAGAGGTTTTCCCAGTAACCAGCGCGCTGCGCCGTTTTGAACGAGCGCGCAAATCTGCTCATAGTTCATAATTTCTCCGGTAGTGGCAGCACGAGTACCGCAATCGTATGAGTCATTGCCAATTTTTCATATCTAAAACACAAATACTTCTGATAAGTAAAAGTAAGAAGTTAATTATTTTTTTTGAATTATTAACAACTATACTAAATGTGGATATTTTTGTATTTTTACTACTTTTTTATCATTTTATATTTTGCTGACATTTCTTGGGCATCACAACATAAATGTTCTTTACAATGATTTCCAATTAATAAATGGTATTTGACTATATATATATATATATATATATATATATATATATATATATATATATATATATATATAGAATAATTGTTTTGAAGAAAGTTATAATGAAAGTCCTGCGCAAAATAAGAATGCATATTTGGAACACTGATTACACCTATGTATCTAGTTCTGCCATACCAGCACACGTAGCTTTAAAATTGTGTCAAATAAAAGCCCAGCATTGGCGTTAACAAGACACAATAGGAGATTCAGAAAGGACTACTTTTGAAAGACAAAATAGACGCTTTGGGGGGAATGAAAATTGGATTGGCAATGACAGATCGCGCGTGGTCCGTGACTCCTTGTTTAAGATATTGCTCCGATCGCCTCCTGGAACTGACCAGATATTAATTTCTAGAGACGAGAACTGGGCAGCCCCATCTAGAATTACCGTGTACTAATAGACCGTGGTCGACTTCGGCCCTGTTACTTAGTGATTTTTCACCAGTATACCTATGCCAATATATTTATATTTTTATAAATTGTAACCTTGGTGCGTAAAAAGTACGGCAGACAAATATTGACCCTTACCGCTAATTCTACAAATGATAATGTTACTACACGATAAGCACATTATTGACAAAATAATGTTACCCAAGAAAATATTGTTTGCCCTTTCTTGTCGTTTTGTGTAATTAGTAGTTTCTAGTACTAAACTTAATGAACACGAACCACTGATCCAAATAAGCTTTCACTAAATTTTGTCTCCCGATATTTCATAATATG